TCAGACTGAACCTTGGGTGCCCACAAGGGGAATGTCTGGGCGTCTCCGCTCTAGACCGCCCGCGTACTGAGCCCCCCGCGACTTGGAGCGCACGTGGGGGCTAAGCGGGGCGGAGCGGGTAATTATGCCGAGTGACGTGTGGGGGAACGTCAGCTCTCTACCAATCCATTGATTCGTATATTAGGAGTGGACTTGACCAGGAGAATTGTGACAGACCCAGCTGTACAGGTATGCAGTTTGACACTGTGTTGAAGCATGGGGGTAATGTTCAACATTATGAACCAAAAAAAACCAAAAACCTGCCACTACTATTGGTCCACCGGTTTCCTTTTAAATGCGTACATAATAGTAGTGTCGCACACTGCACAGCCCAGCTTGATTTGTGGACTCGCTGTTGAACACCCGTTTGCTTTTTGCCACAAGTCTTGAGTGATTTCTTTACTGATGCCAAGTATGTGACTAAGTACACCTTTCTCCTGTTGTGACATACAATAAGGAGTGTCCATCCTCTGTCTTGTATGCTTGTGGTCTTCGCAGTTCCTGTCGATTTTGTGTCTGGGGTCGATCGTGCGATGACTCCTCTGGAGCAGTGGCTCTTCATCATCACATCTGTCGCTCTACTCACTGTCTCGAAGTGATTACTGCCTCCGTCAGGCGCTGCGCCCCAGCTTGGGCGCTTGGAAAAATAACAACCTGCCATTATTCTGAAGCGCGTAGTAGCCAGCGTCTGCCTTGACGTAGAGTAGGTTGCCGTTTCAAAAGAGGGAAGATCCTGAGTGGAAGGAGGAGGAATCTGGTAAGTGAACTCATGTTTTCATCTATTCCGAGCTGCTGTTGCCCCTTGTTTTGGCCCCAATTAACGTTCGCTGTCCTCAGAACGCTTACCTGTTTATTGGCTGATCATGTCTTGCGCATCGATCAGGATGGTTTTTGTGCCGATTCCTGCTGCCTACCTGGTGCAAATTACAGTTAGAATTGACTGGGAATGTGTGGGGTGCCTTCAGATCTTTAATTGATGTCACAGCATCGCACAGAGAAAGTCTTTATTGTGCATGAATACCACAATAGTAGAGATGGTCGAATGAAGCCCATAGCCCCCGGTGATCCAAGATGTGCCCTAGACAAATCCAATGCTTGTGCTTAGTCGTGCTGGCATGCAATGAGTTAAAAAGTGTATCAAACTAAATCTTTGGGTATCATCCTTGAGTTAAATGATAAATATGTGTAATTTATATATAATATAAATAAGTACATACACTATGTTAATTCAAGCCGCAAGCGGCGACGAAGGCCCCCTCGCCGCACCGCGCTACTCCCTGCACCAAGCCGCCTGGGTGGCGCACGTAAGGCCCGCCCCCGCACCAAGCCGTCGCCGCGCCACGCCGCCCTGCACCACTTCCGCCACACCGCACCACGCCGCCCCTCACCAAGCCTCGACGCGCCGCTCCACAACGCCCCCGGCACTACGCCGCTCCACAACGCCCCGCACTAAACGCCTTGCACCACACCGTTACTGGACGGGCCATGACATTGCTCGAAAAGGAGGTGCCAGCACCGCTCGTTGTGATGAATTGTTCCCGTAGCCATAGCCAGAATGTTACGTCCAAGACGGTCATGCGTGAATTTGATAAGTAGAGCTGGTTCTGGCTCCCCAGGTAAACTTGCCAGACGTCTGTTGGGGGCGGGCTACAAATCGGGTGGCGATTTCCAATATTTCACTTTACCCTCTGACCTAAACACCCTGGGAGTTTTGAACCAATGGATTAAAAGTTTTGATGCAAATCTGACTTTGTTTGTGCAAACAGGAGCAAAGCAAAATTTAATGTTGTCAAAATCGAGCCAAAAAATACGGCTCACATTTTGCCGCAGGTCCATAAACACGCCTCCGCTGCTCGAGACAACGTTTCACATCGAGTCCTAAATTCCCCTGAAGTCATTTTTGATCGGTACACGTGTTGAAGGATGACTGTGGAGCGATTTTGAGGCCAATCGGTGAAACGGGTCGAGGAGGAGTCGCTTTCCAACCGACATGTATGAAAACTGATTGGTTTTCATTTTTTCCATTTTGCAATGAATTTCATGAGCTTCCTGTTTGTCAGAGGGATTAGAGCACATAGCATAACAATTTTCCAGTCTCTGACTTGAGGAACATGTTGTTCCAAATTACATAAGTTTCCTACAAAATAAGACAACTTTGACCTCGAACCCCATCCCATAGGCATTATTTTAAATTGGCTGTAGAAGGTGGCGCTAATAGAGCCAATTTCCAAATTTATAACTTTCAAATTGATCTAGACCACGATTTGACCATGGATTCAAGTTTTGTGCCAATTCACACTTTGTTTTGAGCAAACGGAAACACTTTTTTTCATATGTCAAAAACTGAAAATAATACGCCCCTTTTGCGCTCCGCTGGCTCAAACAACGTTTCACTGATCAAAATTCCCTGAAGTCATTTTGATGGTACATGTGTTGAGATGATGTGGAGCGATTTTGAGGCGAATCGGTGAGAAACTGGCCGAGGCTTGGTTTGATTTATGTGATGAGGTGTACATTTGCAATGGAATGGGGAGCGTTTCTCGTCGCCAACGGCAACAGGGTAAAAAATAATGCCTTGGACCCATTGACTTTTTGAATCAAGAGAGGCAAAACAGATTTAATGTGCAAAATTTCAAACATTTTGAAAAAACTAAATTTGAAAATCCGAATGGGGGGGTGGGTGGGGGGGGGGGGGGGGGGGGTGGGGGGGGGTGAACATCCTAAAATTTTGAAATAGTCTGTAGGGGGCGCTAATGTTCAATTGTGGGAATTAATGCACTTTCAAACAGACCCTAGACCCAAGAGTTGAACAATGTAATAAATTTTTGTGCAAATGCAAGACTTTGTATGTGCAAACAGGAGCAAATTTAATGTTGTCAAAAACGGCCAAAAAAAGGATCACATTTTGCCGCTCCGGCTGCTCCAACAATGGTTCACTGATCTAAAATAATCCCTGAGAAGTCAGGATTGATGAAGATAAATGTGTTTGAGATAATTTGGAGCAATTTTTTGAGGCCAATCGGTGAAACGCACGAGGAGGAGTCCGCTTTCCAACCGACGTTGTATGGGAAAATGAATTGGTTTTTCATTGTTTCCATTTTGCTAATGAAATATCATGGCTTGCCTTGTTTGTCAGGGGGCTTAGCCATTATAGAACATTTTTTCCCATGGTCCTTGACTTGAGGGAACATTGTGTATACCGAATAACATGGGTCTACGACTATTTTGACCTCACAAACCCCTCCCATAGGCCATTTATAATATGGCTGTTGTAGGGAGGCGCTAGTAGAGCCCAATTTCAGAGATTTTATCCTTTCAAAGGACCTAGACCCAAGAGGTTTGACCCATTGTATTCAAGTTTTTGTGCTAATCAGACTTTGTTTGTGCAAACGGCAGCAAATTTGTCAATAGTCAAAACGGAGAAAACCTTACGCCCCATTTGGTGGCTCTGCTGCTCAAACAACGTTTCACTGATCCAAAAATCCCTGAAGTCATTTTGATGGTACCAATTTAGATAATAATGAGTGAGCAATTTTGAGGCGAAAACTGTGAAACGCGAGCTGGTTTGTATGTGATTTTGTGAGGTTGTACATTTTGTCAATGAAATGGGGAGACGTTTCTCGTTCGCCGACGCAACAGGTTATAAAAAATAAGCCTAGGACCCAATTTAACTTTTTGAATCAGAGCAAAACAGATTTATGTGCAAAATTTCAAACAAATTTGAAAAACTAACATTTGACAATGCCCAAACTAAAATTTTAAATTGTCTGTAGGAGCGCTAATGTGTCAATTTTGAACTCATTTTACTTTCAAATGAACCTAGAACGACCCAAGAGTTTGAAACATGGATTCAAGTTTTGATGTGCAAATCAGACTTTGTTTGAGCAAACGGAAGCAAATTTTCTATGTTGTCAAAAACGAAAAACATTACGCCACTTTTTGGTGCTCTGCTGCTCAACACAACGTTTCACTGATCCAATTCCCTGAAGTCATTTTGATGGTACATATGTATGAGATAATGTGGAGCAATTTTGAGGCGAATCGGTGAAACGGCAGAGGCTGTTTGATGTTTGTGTGAGGTGTACATTTGCAATGAATGGGGAGCGTTTCTCGTCGCCACGGCAACAGGGTTAAAAAATAAGCCTTGGACCCAATTAACTTTTTGAATCAAGAGGGCAAAACAGATTTATGTGCAAAATTTCAAACATTTTGAAAAAACTAAATTTGAAAATGCCCATCTAAAATTTTGAAATAGTCTGTAGGGGGCGCTAATGTGTCAATTTGAATCATTTTACTTTCAAATGACCTAGACCCTAGAGTTGAACAATGTATTAAAGTTTTGTGCAAATCAGACTTTGTTTGTGCAAACGGGAGCAAATTTAATGTTGTCAAAAACGGCCAAAAAATGTCCACATTTGCCGCCGCTCCGCTGCTCAAACAATGTTTCACTGATCAAAAATCCCTGAGGTCATTTTGAAGGTACATGTGTTGAGATGATGTGGAGCGATTTGGAGGCGAATCGGTGAAACGGCCGAGGAGGAGTCGCTTTCCAACCGACATGTATGAAAACTTTTGCTGTTCATTTTTCCATTTTGCAGTGAAATTTATGGGCTTCCTGTTTGTCAGGGGGTGGAGCCATAATAATATTTTTTTTCTTTGTCTTGGCTATAGGAACATGTGTACCGAATTTCATGGCTCTACGACAAACTTGACCTCCTAAAAGTCCCATAGGGGTATTATTTTGGCTGTTGTAGGTGGCGCTGTTCTGTCATTTTTTGAGTCCCATAAAAATAAACACCAAAATATCAAATTTTTCGCCAGGTCTGATTTTTGGGCCAAAATTAACAACTTTTCGATGCATGTTCAGGGGGTCAGATTAAGGCTCAAAGTGCAGAAGAAAAAAGAAAGAAAGAAAGAAAGAAAGAAACCCTCACGCCGCACCGTGCGACTCTCCCGTACACCGCGCGCATCCACCGCGTACCACCCCCGTGCCAAGCCACCCCGCACCCACGCCGCCCCTGCACCACGCTGTCCGGTCATCGATCGCCGCCCCGCACCAAGCACCCGCAACTTGCCGCCCTGCACCACGCCGCCCTGGCACCCACGCCGCCCTGCACCACGCCGCCCTGCACCAACGCCGCCCTGCACCAACCCGCCCCCCGCACCAAGCCGCAACGTGCCGCTCCACACGCCCCGCACTACGCCGCACCACACCGTACCACGCAGCACCGCTAAAGGAGGTGGCACCGCCGTGTGATGATTGTTCCCATAGCCATAGAAGATTGTTAGTCAAATCGTAATGAATATGAAACTAGAGCTGGTTTGGCTCCCCATGTAAACTTTGACACAGTCTTTAAGGGGGCGCTAATGGGCCAATTTAAAATATTTCACTTTCACCTGACCTAAACCCTGGAGTAGAACAATGTATTAAAGTTTTGTGCAAATCAGACTTTGTTTGTGCAAACGGGAGCAAATTTAATGTTGTCAAAAACTGCAAAAAAAAGGTCACATTTTTCCGCTTCTGCTGCTCAAACAATGTTTCACTGATCAAAAATCCCTGAGGTCATTTTGAAGGTACATGTGTTGAGATGATGTGGAGCGATTTTGAGGCGAATCGGGTGAAACGGTCGAGGAGGAGTCGCTTTCCAAGAGGACATGTATGAAAACTTTTGCTGTTCATTTTTCCATTTTGCAGTGAAATTTATGATCTTCCTGTTTGTCAGAGGGATTAGCCATAATAACATTTTTTCCATGTCTTGACTTGAGGAACATGTGTACCAAATTACATGGTTCTACGGCAATTTTGACCTTGAACCCCTCCCATAGGCATTTTTAAATTGGCTGTTGTAGGTGGCGCTATAGAGCCAATTTCAAAATTTGAACTTTCAATTGACCTAGACCCAAGAGTTGAACCATGGATTCAAGTTTTGTGCCAATCACACGTTTGTTTGTGCAAACGGAAACAATTTTTCTATTGTCAAAAACTGAAAAAAAATACGCCACTTTTGGCGCTCTGCTGCTCAAACAACGTTTGACTGATCAAAATTCCCTGAAGTCATTTTGATGGTACATGTGTTGAGATGATGTGGAGCGATTTTGAGGCGAATCGGTGAAACGGCCGAGGCTGGTTTGATGTTTGTGTGAGGTGTACATTTGCAATGAATGGGGAGCGTTGTCGTCGCCACGGCAACAGGGTAAAAAATAAGCCTTGGACCCAATTGACTTTTTGAATCAAAAGGGCAAAACAGATGTATGTGCAAAATTTCAAACATTTTGAAAAAACTAAATTTGAAAATGCCCATTTAAAACTTTGAAATAGTCTGTAGGGGCGCTAATGTGTCAATTTGAATCATTTAACTTTCAAATGACCTAGACCCTAGAGTTGAACAATGTATTAAAGTTTTGTGAAAATCAGACTTTGTTTGTGCAAACGGGAGCAAATTTAATGTTGTCAAAAACGGCCAAAAAAAGGTCACATTTTGCCGCTCCGCTGCTCGCACAATGTTTCACTGATCAAAAATCCCTGAGGTCATTTTGAAGGTACATGTGTTGAGATGATGTGGAGCGATTTTGAGGTGAAATCGGTGAAACGGCTGAGGAGGAGTCGCTTTCCAACCGACAATGTATGAAAACTTTTGCTGTTCATCTTTTCCATTTTGCAGTGAAATTTATGGGCTTCCTGTTTGTCAGAGGGCGGGGCCATAATAATATTTTTTTCTTGTCTTGACTTGACAAACATGTGTACCAAATTTCATGACTCTATGTCAAACTTGATCTCCAAAACTCCCATAGGGGTATTATTTGGCTGTTGTAGGTGGCGCTGTTCCGTCATTTTTTTGAGTCCCATAAAAATAAACACCAAAATATCAAATTTTTTCGCCAGGTCTGATTTTTGGGCCAAAATTAACAACTTTTTCATGCATGTTCAGGGGGTCAAATTAAGGCTCAAAGTGCAGAAGAAAAAAGAAAGAAAGAAAGAAATAAATAAATTAAAGCCGCAAGCGGCGTCGAACGGGGCCCTCGCCGCACCCGCGCGACCCCCCCTCCGCACCGCGCGACTCCCCGAGGCACCGCGCGACCCCCCCGCATCCGCGCGACCCCCCGCTTCCGCTAACGACGCCTCCCCCGCTCCGCTGCGTCTTCCCCGCTCCGCTGCGACTACTTTCCCCGCATACCCACTACCGCTGCGACTCCCGCACCGCGCTCCGCTACGACTCCCCCGCTCCGCCTGCGACTCTCCGCCGACCACCGCGCTCTCCCCCCCCCCCCCGCCCTTTTTGTTAACGAACTCTTTTTCCCGCACCGCTTGAGAAACGACTACTCCCCTGCAAACCGCTACGGACTCCCCGCACCGCTACACGTCTCCCCGCAACGCGCGCGGCCGCTAAAACGACGGGCCCGCTCCGCTACGACTCCCCCGCCTTCCGCTAACGCCTCCCCGCTCCGCGCAACAACTTCTCCGCTTCCGCTAACAACTATCCTCGCCGCACTGCGTGCCCGCTACGACGTTCCCCCTCCCCCCCACGCAACGCGCAACGACTCCGTGCACAGCTACGACTCCCCGCACCGCGCAACTCGCCTCAACTACTCGCGATTCCCCTCCCCGTGACTCCCCCGCGTTGACATCGCCGCTCCGCAGGTGGACGCCGCCACACGGCCATGAATTTTGCTATCGTAGCCATAGAACAAGTTTGTGAAATTGATGCCGTCGGTGTGGCTCCCCATGTAAAGCTTTAGCTCGTTATGTAGGGGGCGCTAAAGAGCCAATGTAATATTGTACACACTTTCAGGTGACCCAGGCCCAGAAGTAGAACAATCGGGTCAAGTTAAGTACAAATCAAACTTTGTTTGTTCAAAAACGAGAGCTATTTTTGATATAGCCAAAAAAGGTCACTATTTGCCGCTCCGAGCTCAACACATTGTTTCACTGATAAAAATTCCCTGAAGTCATTTTGAAGGTACATGTGTTGAGACGATCGGGAGCGATTTTCAGGCAAATCTGTGAAACGGCTGAGGAGGAGTCGCTTTCCCAAACGACATGTGTGAAAATTATTGCTGTTCATTTATCCATTTTGCAGTGAAATTTATGGGCTCCCTGTTTGTCAGAGGGCGGGGCCATAATAAAACTAATTTCATGTCTTACCTTGTGGAATATGTGTACCAAATTTCATGGCTCTACAACAAACTTGACCTCAAAAACTCTCATAGGAGTATATAATTGGCTGTTGTAGGGGGGCGCTGTTCTGGCATTTGAATTATTTCACATTCAAATGACCTACACCCTAGAGTTTAACCATGGAAACAAGTTTTGTGCAAATCGGACTTTGTTTGAGTAAACGGAAGTAATTTTTCTATTGTCAAAAACTGAAAAAAAACGCCACTTTTTGCACTTCGCTGCTCAAACAACGTTTCAACTGATCAAAATTCGCTGAAATCAAAATGATGGTACATGTGTTTACCATGTGGAGCAATTTTAAAGGCAAATCGTGAAACGGCTAAGGAGGAGTCGCTTTCCAACCAACATCTGTGAAAATGACAATTCTGGTAGGGGGCGGCTAACTGCTGCAATTTGATGTTTTACACTTTCAGTTTACCCAAACCCAAAAGTTGAACAACCGATTCAAATTTGGTGCAAATCGGACTTTGTATGTGCAAATGGTGGCTTTATTAGACTACAATTGCGCCCCCTACAACTTCAAATTTGAAGTCTCTTACTAGGGAACACAAAATTAATAAAGTGTTTGCAAGAACAGAACTTGTGGCAAAATTTTGTAAGTTTTTGTGCATGTTCAGTGGGTCAAATATGACATCAAACAACAGCAAACTTGTTCTTTCCCAGGTTTTCCTGGGCTAGAACAAGTATAATTAAAGCCGCAAGCGGCGTCGAACGGCCCTCGCCGCACCGCGCGACTCCCCGCACCGCGCGCACCACCCCGTGCCAAGCCACCCCGCACCACGGCGTCCCGCACCACGGCGTCCCGCACCACGGCGTCCCGCACCACGGCGTCCCGCACCACGCCGCCCCGCACCAAGCCGCAACGCGCCGCTTCACAACGCCCCGCACTACGCGCCGCACTACGCCGCACCACACCGTACCACGCAGCACCGCTCAAAGGAGGTGGCGCCGTTGTGTGATGATTTGTTCCCGTAGCCATAGAAGATTGTTAGTCAAATTGTAATGAATATAATAAGTAGAGCTGGTTTGGCTCCCCATGTAAACTTTGACTCAGTCTTTAGGGGGCGCTAATGGGCCAATTTCAAATATTTCGCTTTCACCTGACCTAAACCTTGGAGTTGAACAATGGATTCAAGTTTAATGCAAATCAGTCTTTGTTTGTGCAAATGGGGAAAAAATGTATGTTGTCACAAACGGCCAAAAAAAACCCTCACATTTTGCCGCTCCGCTGCTCAAACAACGTTTCACTGATCAAAAATCCCTGAAGTCATTTTAAAGGTACATGTGTTGAGATAATTTGGAGCAATTTTGAGGCCAATCGGTGAAACGGCCGAGGAGGAGTCACTTTCCAAGCGACATGTATGAAAATGATTGGTTTTCATTTTTCCATTTTGCAATGAAATTTATGAGCTTCCTGTTTGTCAGAGGGATTAGCCATAATAACATTTTTCCCATGTCTTGACTTGAGGAACATGTGTACTAAATTACATGGTTCTACGACAATTTTGACCTCGAACCCATCCCATAGGCATTTTTAAATTGGCTGTTGTAGGTGGCGCTATAGAGCCAATTTCAAAATTTAAACTTTCAAATGACCTAGATCCAAGAGCTAAACCATGGATTCAAGTTTTGTGCCAATCACACTTTGTTTGTGCAAACGGAAGCAATTTTTCTATTGTCAAAAACTGAAAAAAAAATACGCCACTTTTTGGCGCTCCGCTGCTCAAACAACGTTTCACTGATCAAAATTCCCTGAAGTCATTTTGATGGTACATGTGTTGAGATGATGTGGAGCGATTTTGAGGCGAATCGGTGAAACGGCCGAGGCTGGTTTGATGTTTGTGTGAGGTGTACATTTGCAATGAATGGGGAGCGTTTGTCGTCGCCACGGCAACAGGGTAAAAAAAATAAGCCTTGAATCAAGAGGGCAAAACAGATTTATGTGCAAAATTTCATACATTTTGAAAAAACTAAATTTGAAAATGCCCATCTAAAATTTTGAAATAGTCTGTAGGGGGCGCTAATGTGTCAATTTGAAAAAATTCACTTTCAAATGACCTAGACCCTAGAGTTGAACAATGTATTAAAATTTTGTGTAAATCAGACTTTGTTTGTGCAAACGGGAGCAAATTTAATGTTGTCAAAAACGGCCAAAAAAAGGTCACATTTTGCCGCTCCGCTGCTCGAACAATGTTGCACTGATCAAAAATCCCTGAGGTCATTTTGAAGGTACATGTGTTGAGATGATGTGGAGCGATTTTGAGGCGAATCGGTGAAACGGCCGAGGAGGAGTCGCTTTCCAACCGACATGTATGAAAACTTTTGCTGTTCATTTTGCCATTTTGCAGTGAAATTTATGGGCTTCCTGTTTGTCAGAGGGCGGAGCCATATTAATATTTTTTTCTTGTCTTGACTATAGGAACATGTGTACCGAATTTCATGGCTCTACGACAAACTTGATTTCTAAAAGTCCCATAGGGGTATTATTTTGGCTGTTGTAGGTGGCGCTGTTCTGTCATTTTTTGAGTCCCATAAAAATAAACACCAAAATATCAAATTTTTCGCCAGGTCTGATTTTTGGGCAAAATTTAACAACTTTTCATGCATGTTCAGGGGGTCAAATTAAGGCTCAAAGTGCAGAAGAAAAAAGAAAGAAAGAAATAAATAAATAAAAAAGGAATTTTTTCGTCTCGAGCAAAAACAATATAGGTTTCAATGGCACGTGATACATCATTTTAAAGCTTTTGAGTTTACGCACGCAACCGTCACGTTTTGGTGAGTGACGGGCGCTGACGCGTCCGTCACGCACCGCCACCATTTGTTTTCACCATTGTGAAAGCAATAGGCCCTTACCCCGTTCGGGGCTCGGGCCTAATAAATAAATAAATAAATAAAAAAGGAATTTTTTTGTGACTTGTCTCGAGCAAAAACAATATAGGTTTCAATGGCATGTGATTCATCATTTTAAAGCTTTTGAGTTTACGCACGCAACTGTCACGTTTTGGTGAGTGACGGGCGCTGACGCGTCCGTCACGCACCGCCACCATTTGTTTTCACCATTGTGAAAGCAATAGGCCCTTACCCCGTTCGGGGCTCGGGCCTAACAAGTTTACTATGCCTACTCTATAATGCCTTGCTTTTCCCATACCTGAACTACATCGCAGAGATATGGCGAAACAATTATTCATACCATTTGCATATTCCAGAAAAAAGCTATTTGCATAGTAAATTATGCAGGTTATTACGCCCCAAATAATTCACTGTTTATTAAATTAAAAATGATTAAATTTATGGATCTTAACACAGCAATTGTCATGTACAAGGTCCACAAATACATGCTTCCCGATTGTATCATGGACAGATTCAAGTTTAGAGAAACTAACTATGACTTAAGAAGAACAGGATTATTTCAAAAAGATGAAGAAAGGACTAACAATAAATATTTCAGATAAGGGAGTCGATCTCTGGAACTGTCTGGATGACGTGCTCCAAGAAGCCACAACATAAAATATAGACAATTATATGAAGATAGAATTATATAAAAATAGATGTTCAACTAAAACATTATGAATGATGATTGGTTGTTTTGTGAACTGTCGCCAGTTATTCTGGATTTGTAAAAAAGTTTAGGCAAAAAAATGAATACACTTCGGCCTAAACTTTTTCAGTCAGAAGAATGTTTTACAATATAAACATGAAAATGTATGAATAATTTTTATGTTTACAACTCCTACTCCTACTAGTTTTCTAAAAAGATGAAGACAGCATGTTGTAGCCAGAGTTGTTCACAACGTTTCACCTTTACAAGACTCTGTTGGTAGGTACAATTAGAAACTAAGTAAAAAATAAAGTTACTAGCCACCTCTGCATAATATGCTATGATATAGGATAACAATGTTCAACGCGATCAAAAAAGGCTTGACCCGCTTCATCAACACTGTTCCTTTTGTTTGATAGATCAAAGACCCAGTGCAGTAACCTCTGGATGTCTGCAATCTCCGCGCTGAGCCGTTCTATCTCCTCCTTCTCTGTTGCAATCTGTCGCCTCAAAACCTGCTCCAGAGAAATCAGCTCCTCCTGCTCAGTCAGGATCTCGTTCTCCTAAACATAACAACACAAACATGTAAGTAATGTTTATTATACAGAATATTTCAGAGAAATCACACAAAGTGCTTTAATTCAATTACATTCATTTGTGTATAGCCCTAAATCATAACAGCAGTCGCCTCTGAAAACTTCAAAGTTTTCACTAACAAATGAGCATCAAACAGTTTGAACTGAAGAGATGCAATAATAAAACACGAAGGAGTCAATTGGTCCAGTAACTTTCATTCCCTCTACTCACGGTGATGTACTTCACCATCCGTTTCACTCGCTCCTTAAATTCAAACTTGTTGTATATGTGGTAAAACCGGAGCACCCAGAGGAAACCTACAGACACGTGGCAAACCCTACACAGGCAGACACCCGTCTGCAGGTGGAATAGAACCAAGGGCCTTCTTGCTGTGAAGCCCATGCCGCGTCACAGACAAAGCCTCTCCAAAAGTCAGAAAGTGCTTCATTTATTAAAATTGACGGCAACAGGAAGGGGAGCGCACACATTTCTACACATTTTCTATTTGTTTATAAAATAAACTTAAAAACTAAACACCTGTTTTAAGAGCAGATTGATCACTTCCTCTTCATTCTCTGTCATTTCCTCTTTAGAAACGTCCTCCTTCGACAAACTGGCAATTTCCTGGGCAATCTTAGTCTCACACTCCTGAAGAAGGGAGAATTTGAAATCCAAATTTTTGAACATGATACAGTACATAGATACATGTGTACCGTACTTTTCAGGTTATTTACACAATACTTGTCAAGTGGCTCAAAACGCACGATTTGCAGCAAATAATTTTATGTAAGGTTGTATGTGTGCTAAAGGTCCTCTGGAGGCTTAAAAGAGAAAGAAAGGCAGAATTCTTTGTTCAAATTCTCTCTGGTCTCGCAGTCTCCCTCTCTGGTCTTGCGGTCTCCCTCTCTCTGGTCTCGCGGTCTCCCTCTCTCCCTGCTTGAATTCAACTGTGTTCCATTTATGTATAAAGATTACTTTCTTTTAAAATGCAACAAACACGAGATGTACAATTATTTGAATCTCCTTTAGTGAAACTGCACCTGTCTCTTTGCTTCCCGAAGTTTTCGTTTGAGTGCCGTCAAAATCCGCTGCACTTCCCAGAGTCGCTCTTCTTTGGACAAGTCCTTCACTCCAGCCTGAAGGTCCCTGTGCAGCCGGTTTATCAGAAACTCCTGAACAAATATAAAAGAACACCATTTAAACACATTAAAAGAAAAAAAAAAAGGGTCTCGCACAAGGAGTTCAAGTGGAGCATTTTTTTTTTATTTAGGCTAATCTTCTAAGCGAAATATATTTATAAATGTGTGAGGGATCATGAAAAATCAAGTTGCTTATTTGTTATTACCTAATAATGGCAGGTCGTAGATTTAGGTGTAAACATAGACAGTATATAGATTGACAATGCTAACACACTAGCTCAAAGAAGACCAATAGGGAAGAACTCATGGATGCTTCTAATGGCTAACGGCATTTTGGGCTGAGTGTTTGTATTATGATATTGTCTATTGCCATATAAAGTCTGCTTTCAGGGAGGGGGACCGCAGCGGCTACGAAGCAGCCAAATATCAGTTCAGGGACGAACTGAAAGCGGCCAAGTCCCGGCACAGAGAACGACTACAGGAGAAGTTTGGTAACAACGATACTGCTTCCGTCTGGAGGGGCCTACAGGAGATCACGAACTACAAGCCCAAAGCCCCCCCCCTGTGCTGACGACCACAAGCTAGCTGACGACCTGAACTTTTTTTTCAGTCGCTTTGATGCTGCCCCTGACACCTCCCCCACTACTCTAACGACCCACCCATCAGCCCTGCCCCCACCCTGACAATAGCCTCTAAAGATATCAAACAACTCTTCTTGAGGCTGCACCCCCGCAAAGTCTCCAGCCACTCTGAGACACTGCGCCAGTGAGCTTACTCCTGTGTTCACTGACATCTTCAACTCCTCTCTGCAGTCCTGCCATGTCCCGGCCTGCTTCAAATCCTCCATCATTGTCCCCGTCCCGAAGAAGCCCAGGATCACAGGACTCAATGACTACAGACCTGTAGCACTTACGTCTGTCGTCATGAAGTCATTTGAACGCCTGGTTCTCTCCCATCTCAAGTCCTTCACCTCCCCCCTCCTGGACCCCCTGCAGTTCGCCTACAGAGCCAACAGATCTGTAGACAACGCCATTAACCTGGCCATCCACCACATCCTACAGCACCTGGACTCCCCGGGGACCTATGCCAGGGTCCTGTTCGTGGACTTCAGCTCTGCCTACAACACAATCCTGCCATCCCTGCTCCAGGACAAGCTCTCCCAGCTCAACGTGCCCGATTCCACCTGCAGGTGGATCACCGACTTCCTGACGGACAGGAAGCAGCGAGTGCGTCTGGGGAAGAATGTCTCGGACTCTCGGATTATAACAGGGCTGTGTTCTTTCTCCCCTGCTCTTCTCCCTGTACACCAACCACTGCACCTCCAGCCACGACTCTGTGAAGCTGATCAAGTTTGCGGATGACACCACCCTCATTGGACACATCTCCAACAACGATGAGTCTGCCTACAGGAGGCAGAGGTGGACCGGCTGGTGTCCTGGTGCAGTGGTAACAACCTGGAGCAAAACGCCCAGAAGACAGTGGAGATGATTGTGGACTTCAGGAAGAGCACTGTCCCCCCGCCCCCACCCTCCGTGATGGACTTCCCCATCACCTCTGTGAAGTCCTTCCGTTTCCTGGGCACCACCATCACCCAGGACCTCAAGTGGGAGCCGACCATCAGCTCCCTCATCAAAAAGGCCCAGCAGAGGATGTACTTCCTAGCCCGACTCTCGCCAGACCCATGTAGTTCGCTGCACTTCACACATGAGTCTGGTACTGAGCCATAGTGGTTGGATTTCAGAAGGCAGGGCCTTGTAAAAAAAATCCTTGTATGTGATTGGATAGACCACTTGTCTGTTATCTTGAATGAAGTCTGCTTTCAACCACTCACATCGAAGCACACGGCTCCCATAGGTTGCCAAATCCCAGCAAGATTTTCCAACCCAAAATCCACGAGAATACCCCCCCAAAAAAACAAAAAAAACACTTTTTTGGCAAAAAACGTAATATAATCAACTTGGGCTATCATGATTCTGTTTATTGTCTTTCTGTTTATTTAATACCTACAAGTCTCTTGGAAAAAAATATGCGGGAACCACCAAACCTGGCAACCCTGTTGCATAGTGTGTAAACAGGAACACTGAACGAGTGCTTCAACCAAACTTTACAGGAACATTTGACTCTTAAAACACACATATATCAACATAGAACCATCTACATCTGGCCTCAAAACCCTTTTAAAAAGATTTGCGGACTTTACGTCCGCCATCTTGGATTCCTCTCGCTGCTGCATGAGAGAATCTTGAGGAGGCAGTGCAAACCCCACGTAACACTGGCAATCCTGATTGGTCGATTAAAAAATAATCTGGGGAAGGGTTCGCTATGGGCTCGATACCAGACCCATGTGGTTCAGCCAAACGCCTCTGGTGGGGCACGGCAGAACTACAAGGGTCTGGCAGAGCCAGGCTATGTACTTCCTGCGGCAGCTCAGGAAAGCCAAGCTGCCTGCACAGATGTTGGTGCAGTTCTACACGGCCATCATCGAGTCCATCCTCAAGTCCATCCTCACCTCCTCCATCACCGTGTGGTTTGCTGGAGCCACAGTCAGGGACAAACAGAGACTACAGCGCATCGTGCGCTCTGCAGAGGAAGTGATTGGCCGCAGCCTTCCATTGCTGCAGGACCTGTACGTCGCCCAAGCTCGAGGCCGGGCTGGTCGTATCACAGCCGACCCCTCTCACCCTGCACATGGACTATTCCAACCACTCCCCTCAGGCAGGAGACTGGGGTCCATAAGGACTAGAACCTCCCGCCACAAGAACAGTTTCTTCCCCTCTGGTGTTGGACTCTTGAACACTTCTTAACCTGTCCCCCCACCCTTTATAAAGTCACTTTACTGCCCATCATACGTCACTTTACTTCACTGTACTGCTGTCACCTTACATTGTGTGCACCATGTGCACTTGTATATTGTAAAATGTAACTAACTCTATTTTAAATTTAAATGTATTCCTTAGAAGTGTTTTTTATTCTTTATTTTTATTATCTCTTTCTGACTGTTGCACTGAGCCAAAGCAAATTCCAAGCCTGTGTCTTCCTGTTACCTACAGTGCCTTGTGAAAGTATTCGGCCCCCTTGAACCTTTCAACATTTCGCCACATTTCAGGCTTCAAACAAAGATATAACATTTTAATTTTTTGTCATGAATCAACAACAAGTGGGACACAATCGTGAAGTGGAACGAAATTTATTGGATAATTTAAACTTTTTTAACAAATAAACTGAAAAGTGGGGCGTGCAATATTATTCGGCCCCTTTACTTTCGGTGCAGCAAACTCCAGAAGTTCAGTGAGGATCTTTGAATGATCCAATGTTGTCCTAAATGACTGATGATGATAAATAGAATGCACCTGTGTGTAATCAAGTCTCTGTATAAATGCACCTGCTCTTTGATAGTCTCAGGGTTCTGTTTAAAGCGCAGAGAGAACCATGAAGACAAAGGAACACACCAGGCAGGTCCGAGATACTGTTGTGGAGAAGTTTAAAGCCGGATTTGGATACAAAAAGATTTCCCAAGCTTTAAACATCTCAAGGAGCACTGTGCAAGCAATTATATTGAAATGGAAGGAGTATCAGACCACTGCAAATCTACCAAGACCCGGCCGTCCCTCCAAACTTTCATCTCAAACAAGGAGAAGACTGATCAGATAAGCAGCCAAGAGGCCCATGATCACTCTGGATGAACTGCAGATAACTACAGCTGAGGTGGGAGAGTCTGTCCATAGGACAACAATCCGTCGTGCACTGCACAAATCTGGCCTTTATGGAAGAGTGGCGAGAAGAAAGTTTAAAGTTTTCCACAAGCCACCTGGGAGACACACCAAACATGTGGAAGAAGGTGCTCTGGTCAGATGAAACCAAAATCAAACATTTTGGCCACAATGCAAAACGATATGTTTGGCGTAAAAGCAACACAGCTCATCACCCTGAACACACCATCCCCACTGTCAAACATGGTGGTGGCAGCATCATGGTTTGGGCCTGCTTTTCTTCAGCAGGGACAGGGAAGATGGCTAAAATTGATGGGAAGATGGATGGAGCCAAATACAGTTTTTTTTATATAGTTTATTTAAATAGGGACGATACACATTAATCAACATTGCTGTAAATGTGTCAGTATTAGCTAACAGCTAGTTTCCAACTGAAGTCCCTAGTCAAGGTGTAAAATGCCATCAAAGTGCACTGCAACAGGACATCTTATCTTCCAACAGGACAATGATCCAAAACATAAAGCCAAATCTACAATGGAATGGTTCACAAATAGACGTATCCAGGTGTTAGAATGGCCAAGTCAAAGTCCAGACTTGAATCCAATCGAGAATCTGTGGAAGGAGCGGAAGACTGCTGTTCACAAACGCTCTCCATCCAACCTCACTGAGCTCGAGCTGTTTTGCAAGGAAGAATGGGAAAGAATTCCTGTCTCTCAATGTGCAAAACTGATAGAGACATACCCCAAGCGACTTGCAGCTGTAATTGCAGCAAAAGGTGGCGCTACAAAGTATTAGCGCAAGGGGGCCGAATAATATTGCACGCCCCACTTTTCAGTTTTTTATTTGTTAAAAAAGTTTAAATTATCCAATAAATTTTGTTCCACCTCACAATTGTGTCCCACTTGTTGATTCTTGACAAAAAAAATATTTTTGTTTATCTTTATGTTTGAAGCCTGAAATGTGGCGAAATGTTTAGTTTAGTTTATTAAGATCCCCATTAGCCACTGAGATGCAATGGCTAATCTTCCTGGGGTCTCCTCAAAATCATTACATGCTTTTACATATTTTTATACATAAATCACACACACACTCACACACACACACACACACACTATGTGTGTGTGTGTGTGAAAAAATTATGAAAAATTAAACTATGAAAAAACTATGAAAAAATTAAAAATAATAATAATAATAACAAATGAACTTTCTCCAGTGGTTTCAGTCCAACTCAAATATAAAATATTATATTTGATGTATAATTAATGTTCATGTGTGAAAAGATATAGCTTTAATTTCTTTTGAAAATGAATTCTCTCACTCTCT